GCCCCATAGGGAGATCCACCGCGATTCTCACGGATGCGGTGTTCACAGTTGCATATGATCGGGTCTTTGGCCAAGCTAAGTTTGATTCTCTCTAGTTTGCTCTCCAGGCGGCCGGCGAGATGAGCAGGAATATGTTGGGATGGAAGGGCTCAAAATGTTATCGTCTGGCAACCCAACAACCCCTCTTGTAGGCAATCTTGGGTGACGGATCGAATGGCGTTTGGCCCACCCTGCCACCGTGTTTGGGTTGTGGGTCAGAGGCCTCTTGGATGCAAATCTAGGTCTTTTGGTATGTCTCTAAGGGGGCATCTTGCAAGGACTCTTGGGAGCTCCTTGCGACCTCTTGGGGGCTTTGGGGGGATATTGGGACCATTTTGGGGCGGAGGCTTGACATCTGAGGCCGTGTTGGAGACCTCTTTTGGCTGTGCGGCTGTCTTGGGGACCTTTCGCTCGTCTTGGGGTCATTGTTGGCCGTCTGGTCCCTCTTGGTTGCCTATTTGGCCATCGTGGGGCGGTTTTGGGAGCCTCCTGCGCCATCTTGGAGCGTGCAAGCCCGGAAAGGCGACACCGATAAAGTATACGCTAAAGTCTCTAAACGCAGAAAATGCTACAATCGTTGATGAGTATCAAGGATGTTTGCTTACGTGCTGGTGCCCTCTTGGGGAGTCTTGTGAAGCCCGCTTGGGCTATATTGGGCCGATGGGGCACTCTTGAGCCGTCTTGCCCTCGTGGCCGTTGGAGCATTCGGACAGGTGCCTGTTGCCTGTCGGACAGGTTTGCCCTCGTGGCCGTAGGAGCGTTCGGACAGGAGCATCGTGCCCTCGTGGCTCTGGTGCCTGTCGGACAGGTTTGCCCTCGTGGCCGCAGGAGCATTCCTGCGGGCAGCTCGACGAGTCCTGCGGGGAGCCCCACGAGGCTCGCTGGAACCCCCACGAATCCATGAGCCGGGGGTCGGTACCCTATATAGTAGTCAGTTGTTAAGGATTGAGGGCAGTGGACTCCCGATGGCCTGGGGACACTTCACTCAGAGAATCGCAGAACGGCGCACCAGTTGGGCAAAGCAGGTCCTGCGCCACCCCCAAAGCCTGAATGGTGAAGGATTGCGAGTGCGTAGCGACGAATGGCTGCAAGTGCTTCGAGTCATGCGTTTGCCCAGTGGCTGCTCCGTCATCGCCAGCAAGAGTTGCACGCGGGCGCAAGCAGATCAGCCCGTCCGTTCGGATGTCCCGACGCGGGCCGATGTCCGAGCGAACCCGCTCCAGGACCCAGATATCACCCACGCCGATATGACACGCGTGCGTAATATGATTGACCTGATCGGGTATGCTTAGTTGATTGGCCGAGAAATTCTAGCCGTCAATCGCCGCCAATGCATGAGTGAATGAATGAACGAGCTTGGCCGCATGCATCTTAGCACTCGACCCAGCGCGCTGTTTCTCATTCGCCCGACTTGGGCTCCTTCAGCGTAGCTGGACTCGGAGTATCTGAACTGTGGTGCTGATGATCCTCCTCCCAGATAACAGGATTATTCATCACGATTCGCGTACCCCCACCAGCCCGTCCAGGAACGACGCCCAGGCGAGTAGAGGGTCGTCCTGATGGGCTTTTCGGCGTCTTGGGTGCCTCGGGGGGGCCTCTTTGGGCCGTTTGGGATCCTCTTGGGGGCCTCCTGGGGGCCTCTTGGGGCCATCTTGGGGCCCCTTGGTGCCTCCTGGGCGCTTCTTGGGGCCATCTTGGAGGAAGGCGATCAAAGAAGAGGGGAGCTTTAATTAGCGCTGCCCCCTCAGAAGGCCAACATGGGGCCACAACCTTAGTAACATCAATGATTTTGGCTTGAAAGAAGAGGGGAGCTTTAATTAGCGCTGCCCCCTCAGAAGGCCAAAATGGTGCCACAACCGTAGTAAAATCAATGTTTTTGGCTTCAAAGAAGAGGGGGGGGTTTTCTGCCTCCCCCCGTCGGGGCCAGAATCCTCGTGAGGGGTGTCGAAGTTTAGCCCTCCCAGGAGTCGAAAAAAACCCTCCAACCACCCGCGAAACGCCCTCTCCAGGCCCAGGGGGAAGGGGTAGGGGGAGGGGTAAACCCCTCCCCGAAGGGGAAGAAGGGGGGTTGAGAACAGAGAGAGCTCGCTAAACCACTCACGCCCAGCGGGCTGGTGGGATTCGTTTAGGATTGGTATCAGTATTTGTAGTATTGTTAGTATTACTATTATTCGTAGTAGTAGTAGTAGTAGTAGTAGTAGTAGTAGTAGTAGTAGTAGCATAGTTTTAGTAGGATTTGTAATAGTAGTAGTAGTAGTAGGAGTAGTAGTAGTAGTAGTAGTAGTAGTAGTAGCAGTAGTAGTAGTAGTAGTCGTAGTATTAGTATTATCATTATTAGTAGTAGTCGTAGTAGTAGTAGGAGTAGTAGTGGTGGTAGTAGTTGTAGTCGTAGTAGTCGTAGTAGTAGTCGTAGTAGTAGTAGTAGTAGTAGAAGTAGTAGTAGTGATAGTAGTAGTAGTAGTAGCAGTAGTAGTAGTAGCAATAGCAGTAGTAGTGGCAGTGGCAGTAGTAGTAGCAGGCGTAGTAGTAGTAGTAGTAGTAGTAGTAGTAGTAGTAGTAGTAGTCGCAGTAGTCGTAGTAGTAGTAGTAGTAGTAGTAGTAGTAGTAGTAGTAGTAGTAGTAGTATCGTCGCCGTCGTCGTAGTAGTAGTGGCCGGGGTAGTAGACGTCGTAGTAGTAGTAGTAGTCGTAGTTGTAGTAGTAGTAGTAGTAGTAGTAGTAGTAGTAGTAGTAGGAGTAGTAGTAGTAGTAGCAGTAGTAGTAGTCGTAGTAGTAGTAGTAGTAGTAGTAGTAGTAGTCGTAGTAGCAGTCGCAGTATTATTATTATCATTATTAGTAGTAGTCGTAGTAGTAGTAGTAGTAGTAGTGGTGGTAGTAGTTGTAGTCGTAGTAGTCGTAGTAGTAGTAGTAGTAGTAGAAGTAGCAGTAGTAGTAGTAGCAATAGCAGTAGTAGTGGCAGAGTAGTAGCAGGCGTAGTCGTAGTAGTATAGTAGTAGTAGTAGTAGTAGTAGTAGTAGTAGTCGAGTAGTAGTAGTAGTAGTAGTAGTAGTAGTAGTAGTAGTCGTAGTAGTAGTAGTAGTAGTAGTAGTAGTATCGTCGCCGTCGTCGTAGTAGTAGTGGCCGGGGTAGTAGACGTCGTAGTAGTAGTCGTAGTCGTAGTCGTAGTCGTAGTAGTAGTAGTAGTAGTAGTAGTAGTAGTAGTAGTAGTAGTAGTTGTAGTAGTTGGAGTAGTGGTAGTCGCAGTAGTCGCAGTAGTCGCATAGTAGTTAGTAGTAGTCGTAGTCGTCGAAGTACTAGTAGTACTAGCAGCGCTAGAATTTGCAGTATGAGTAGTAGTAGTATTATGAGTCGTAGTAGTAGTAGTAGTAGTAGTAGTGGTAGTAGTAGTAGTAGTTGTTGTTGTTGTTAGTAGTAGTATTAGTACTAGTACTATCAGTAGTAGTAGTAGTAGTAGTAGTAGTAGGAGTCGTAGTCGTAGTAGTCGGAGTAGTAGTAAGCATAGTAGTGCTAGTAGTAGTAGTAGTAGTAGTAGTACTACTACTACTACCAGTACTACTTAGCAGTAGTAGTAGTAGTAGTAGTAGTAGTAGTAGTCGTAGTAGTCGTAGTAGTCGAAGCAGTAGTCGTAGTAGTAGTAGGCGTAGTAGTAGTAGTAGCCGTCGTAGTCGTACTCGTAGTAGTAGTAGTAGTAGTAGTAGTAGTAGTAGTAGTTGTGGTAGTAGTTGTCGTAGTAGAGATTGTCATATCAACAGTAGCAGTAACAGTAGTAGCAGTAGTAGTAGTAGCAGTAGTAGTAGCAGCAGCAGTAGTCGTAGTAGTCGTAGTAGTAGTGGTGGTAGTAGAAGTGGTAGTAGTAGTAGTTAGTTTGGAATCAGGAGTAGTCTTAGTAGTATTGATTCTTGTGGTAGCAGTAGTCGTGTTGATATCGGTGTAGAAGTAGTAGTAGGCGTTGTCGGAGTAGTAGTAGTAGTAGTAGCAGTAGCAGTAGTAGTAGTAGCAGTAGTAGTAGTAGTGGTGGCAGTCGTAGTCGTAGTAGTAGTCGTAGTAGTAGTAGTAGTAGTAGTAGTAGTAGTAGTAGTAGCCTTAGTAATAGTTTTCGTAGATGTAGATGTAGTAGTAGTGGTCGGAATACTAGGGATAGTCGTAGTAGAATGAGTATGTGTAGAAGTCGTAGCGTCAGTTTTAGTAGTAGCAGTAGTAGTAGTAGTAGTAGCAGTAGCAGAAGCAGTAGCAGTAGTAGTCGTAGTAGTAGGTAGGTAGGTAGGTAGGTAGGTAGGTAGGTAGGTAGGTAGGTAGGTCGTAGTAGTAGTAGGAGTAGTCGTAGTAGTCGTAGTAGCCGTAGTAGTTGTAGTCGTAGTTGTAGTCGCAGTAGTAGTAGTAGTAGTAGTAGTACCAGTAGTAGTAGTAGTAGTAGTAGTAGTAGTAGTAGTAGTAGTCGTCGAAGTACTAGTAGTAGTAGTAGTAGTAGTAGTAGTAGTAGTAGTAGTAGTAGTAGTAGTGGTAGTAGTAGTAGTAGTAGTAGTAGTAGTGTAGTAGTCGTAGTAGTAGTAGTAGTAGTAGTAGTAGTAGTAGTAGTAGTCGTCGTAGTCGTAGTCGTAGTCGCAGTAATAGTAGTAGTAGTAGTAGTAGTAGTAGTAGTAGTAGTAGTAGTAGTAGTAGTAGTAGTAGTAGTAGTAGTAGTAGTCGTATTATTATTATTAGTAGTAGTAGTCATAGTAGCAGTAGTAGTAGTAGTAGTAGCAGTAGTAGTAGTAGCAGTAGTAGTAGTAGTAGTAGTAGTTGTTGTAGTAGTTGTAGTAGTAGTAATAGGAGGAGGAGGAAGAGGAGGAGGAGGAGGAGGACGAGAAGGACGAGCAGGAGGAGGGGCGGCAGCAGCAGGAGAAGCAAGTGGAGGAGGAGGAGGCGGAGGAGGAGGAGGAGCGCGAAATTTGTTCCTCTGAGGAGCCACGGTACCAAGAGGAGATGCCGTGCCGTTTCGCGGTCGCCTTCCCGGTGCCAAGGCGGGCCAGCTCCACCCTTACGTAGGCGAACGAAGGAGTGAGGAGGAGTGAGGAGGAGGACGCGGTCGCCTTCCCGGTGCCAAGGCGGGCCAAGGTGAGGAGGAGGGAAAGGGTGGCAGAGGAGGAATTTGGAGGAGTAGAAGGGGAGGAGTAGCAGGAAGAGTGAGAAGAAGAAGGACGAGGGAGAGGGAAGGGGATGACATACATCGCCTCCTCCTCCTCGCCTTGCCCCTTCCCCAGCGCGCGCGCGGGAGCGCGGGCGTGGACGGGGGGCGGGAGTTCGTGCGGTTTGGCTGAAGCGCGGAGACTGGCTCGCGACCTTTTCGGGCAACAAGTGGACGTTGCGGGGACATAATCCGCAGGGTTGCAGCGGGAAGAGGCCCTCACTTTGAGACCTCCGTCTCTGCGCCAGCCCACGCCCCCCAACCCGCAAGAAGTGTTTTTCACCAGGTGGACTTGGGGTAGCCCCGGAAGACAGGCCATGTCAGATGCCTGGCGAGACGTTCATGGAGGAAGAGCTTCCTTCAATCGCCAAAGTTGCCCAGGGTGAGCCGCGTGCGGAGGCAGAGAGGAACTAAGAGATTGGAGTGGGGAGGAAAGCGCTTTGCGAGGGTGTGAGGGTGGATGGAAGGTAGGAGGAAGGGAGAATCGCGCGTTGCCCTGCTTTTTCGCACTTCCACCCGCCCCTCAGGGCCCCCCCGTGGCTTTGCAGGTGGGCTCGAGCTTTCCTGAGGTCGCGCAAGAGAGAGGGTATGACGCTGTTGTGCCGCCAGCCCGCGGTGACCGCGAGGGCAGCCCCCTTGAAGAGCTCCAGAGGCCTCCAGACGCCTCACTCTGTCATGCCCCCTCGTGTCACCGCCGGTGCTGTAGGCAGGAGGGCGCTGGCCTTCCAGGCCTTGAGGACTTCCGCGCTCAAGAGAAGGGGTGCGTGGAATCTCTCGATTTCCAGAAGCGGTTGTGGACGGTCGGGCCATGACATGACTCTTGGTGCATCCAGGACAGGGGCCTCCCCATGGGGCGCGGGAGGGGAACGGGGCGGGAGGGAGTGAGGAGAGAAGGGAGGGAGTCACGCAGAAGGTGGTGCGCCGTTGCCCACCGGTGGGAACCGACAGGCCCCGACCAGGGGATTTGCATGGGCAGGATCCGCATGTGCAGGATGAGGAGGGGTTGAAGGAGGATTGAGGACGAGGGTTGAATAGGCAACAAGGAGTAGGGGCAGGCGGGTGGGGTGGAGGAGGAACATGGGGAGGAGGAGGACGAGGAGTCGGCAGGGGATAGACTACGGACAGTCGGAACATACCGTACGTAGTCATTTTTGCTCAAGGCTGCAGGGAGTGCCCCGCCAAAGCGATGAGTCAGACATTGTGGATTTCTGCATGTTACGCGCAATGGTAGCGCGCGAGGCGACCGTAAAACATTCCACACGTGTATCCATAGGTCCACCTGGGGGCCTAGGAATTAAGGTCACCGAGACCTACCTTGAGCGCACTAATTGCGCAGCGGAATTCAGATTTGATGCTATCCAGCTGCCTGCGGCAAACCACGCCACCGTGCATGTGCAAGAGCACGTCAGGAATGAGTTTGAGTTCTTCACGCTTCGCGTACCCCCGCCAGCTCATTCAGAAGTCTGCCCGCGAGAGCTGGCCGCACAAGGGGCAATGAGATTTATACAGTGACCAGGGTGAATAGAGAGTGGACAAGGATGTGGCCTAGGAGGGCCTCTTCGGGCCATGCCTGGGGCCCGCGTGGGGGCGAGGGAAGGAGGAGGAGGAGGAGGAGGAGGAAGACGACGACGACCACCACCACGACGACGAGGAATAGGAGGAAACGGAAAAGGACGACGATGAGGGCAAGGATGAGGAGGAGGAGGAGGAGGACAACGAGGACGAGGACAGAGCTCTCAAAATCATTTGTAGCCCTCTTGGAACTCTTTTGTAGGATCTTGGGGTCCGATTAGGGCCTTTTTGGGGTGTCTTGGGGCCCTTTTGGAGCCCTCTCGGGGTTTCCTTGGGAGCCCTGGACATCTTGGCACCAATTTTGGAGGCCATCGATCAAACGGGGGGTCTAAATGTCTGTTCCCCCCTCCTGGGGCCATACATATCGTCTCTTGGGGTTCTCTTGGGATGCTCTCGGGACGATCTTGGGCGCTCTTGGGAGCGTCTGTGGGGCCTCTTGGGCCCCTCGTGCGCCTCCATTCGGCCATCTTGAAGCTTCACACGCGCATCGGAAGCGAACAGGCGAGACGCCAAGCATCCTTGATGAGCCTTACGCTTTTGCAGGATGTTGGCCTATTGGGGAGGTCCTGGATGGGCTCCGAGAGCACTTGGTTGTTGCCCTCGTCGAGCATCTTAGAGGTATGTCGGAAGCTAGCTTGAACAATCTTCGGCTATCTTCGGCCGCAGTTGCCATCTTTGAGCATCGGAGGCCCGTTCGGAGCCATCTTGGGCGAAATTGGGCCCTCTGCCACGTCGCGACCCCCCCCCCCACACACACACACACACCCACACCCACACACACACACACCCACACCCACACCCACACACCCACACCCACACCCACACCCACACCCACACCCACACCCACACCCACACCCACACCCACACCCACACCCACACCCACACCCACACCCACACCCACACCCACACCCACACCCACACCCACCCCCACACCCACACCCACACCCACACCCACACCCACACCCACACCCACACCCACACCCACACCCACACCCACACCCACACCCACACCCGCACACGCACCGCACCGCACCGCACCCGCACCCGCACCCGCACCACGCGCACGCGCACGCGCACGCGCACGCGCACGCGCACGCGCACGCGCACGCGCACGCGCACGCGCACGCGCACGCGCACAGACAGAGAGAGACAGAGACAGAGACAGAGACAGAGACAGAGACAGAGACAGAGACAGGCAGAGACAGAGACAGAGACAGAGACAGAGACAGACAGAGACAGAGACAGACAGACAGGCAGACAGACAGACAGACAGAGACAGACAGACAGACAGACAGACAGACAGACAGACAGACAGACAGACAGACAGAGAGACAGAGAGAGACAGACAGACAGACAGACAGACAGACAGACAGACAGACAGACAGACAGACAGACAGACAGACAGACAGACAGACTGACACACAGACACACAGACAGACACACAGACACACACAGACACACACACACACAAAAAAAAAAGCCTGGCGAAAGACCCAGCCATATGCAGTTCTGAGTATTGTCGTTGTGAGTGCCGCCTTCGGTGGATCTCCTTCTAGGGCCACGAAACGCGTGAGGGTTGTGTTGACATGGGGCGGGACCGCCGCACGGGCGCTGACAGCGGGGCCGTAGTCACTATGGGGCCACGAAGCGTGTGAGGTTTTTGCCGCAATTGGTGGCTGGGACGCATGCGGGCTGCGCCGCTGGGACCCTCCGTGGAGATCCCGATGGGGCCACGAAACGTGTGAGGGGTGTGCCAGAATCGGTGGCTGTGACGCGTGCGTGTTGTGCCACTGGGGCCATCGGTGAGGCCCCCATGAGACCACGAAACGTCTGAGGGTATGTGCCGGAATCGGTGGCTAGGACACATGCGGCTTGCGTTGTTGGGGCTTTCGGTGGAGCTCCCTATGGGGCCACGGAACGTGAGGAGTGTGCCAGAATGTGTGGCTGGGACGCATGCGGACTGGGGCCTTCGATCGAGCCCCCCCTGGGGCCACGATGCGTGTGAAGAGTGGGCCGAAATAGGCGGCTGGGACGCATGCGTGTTGCGCCACTGTCCGCCACAAAAGCATATGCACGGACACCCTCCAATGGATAGTTCCTGGGCCTCAGGGGAGGATGGCGGTGTATACATCACCACTGCGAGCCAGCGACTTCCACACCGCCGCCCTCTCTGAAAGCACATGCAAAATCCGTCGAAGGCTGTCTGTGTAAATCTTCTCGTGGCGTACACAGGGGCCTTCGTGGAGCCCCTTACAGCGCCACGAAGCGTGTGAGGGGTATGCCGACATGGGTGGCTGGGACGCATGCGGGCTTCGCCACTGCGTTCGGTGGAGCTCCCTATGGGGTCACGAAACGTTTGAGGGGTGTGCCGGAATCGGTGGCTGGGACGCATGCGGGCTGCCCCATTGAGACTTTCGGTGGAGCTCCCTATGGGGCCACGAAACGTGTGAGGGTTGTGTCGGCATGTGTGGCTGGGACGCGTGCGGGCTGCGTCATTGGGGCCTGTCGGTGGAGCCCTATGGGGCCACGGAACGTGTAAGGGATGTGCCGGAATCGGTGGCTGGGACGCATGCGGGCTGCCCCATTGAGACTTTCGGTGGAGCTCCCTATGGGGCCGCGGAACGCGTGAGGGTTGTGTCGGTATGTGTGGCTGGGACGCGTGCGGGCTGCGCCATTCGGGCTTTTCGGTGGAGCTCTATGGGGCCACGAAGCGTTTGAGGGGCGTGCCGAAATCGGTGGCTGGGACGCATGCGCGCTGCGCTGCTGAGGCCTTCGGTGGAGCTCTCTATGGGGTCACGAAACGTGTGAAAGGTCTGGGTTCGCAGGGTAAAAGAGCTCGTGGTTTCTTTCTTGAGCGGGGACAGAGGCAGGGGAGAGAAGAGGAAGGAGGGAGGGGGCAGCGGGAGCCCTGCGCACCTCCTATGGTGTCGGAAAAGTGCCACTCCTGCTATGCCCTGGACGACGGGCTCGGATAGCGGCCGCGCTCAGGGACCACCCCCTGCGCACCCCCTACGGTGTCGGGAAATGCCACTCCTGCTATGCCCTGGACGACCAGCTCGGATAGCGGCCGCGCTCAGGGACCACCCCCTGCACACCCCCTATGGTGTCGGAAAAGTGCCACTCCTGCTATGCCCTGGACGACCAGCTCGGATAGCGGCCGCGCTCAGGGACCACCCCGTGCGCACCCCCTACGGTGTCGGGAAATGCCACTCCTGCTATGCCGTGGACGACCCGCTCGGATGGCGGCCGCGCTCAGGGACCACCCCCTGCGCACCTCCTATACGGGAAATGCCACTCCTGCCTTGCCCTGGACAACGGGCTCGGATGGCGGCCGCGCTCAGGGACCACCCCCTGCGCACCCCCTACGGCGTCGGGAAATGCCACTCCTGCTTTGCCCTGGACGACGGGCTCGGATAGCGGCCGTGCTCAGGGACCACCCCCTGCGCACCCACTACGGTGTCGGGAAATGCCACTCCTGCTTTGCCGTGGACGACCGGCTCGGATAGCGGCCGCGCTCAGGGACCACCCCCTGCGCACCCCCTACGGTGTCGGGAAATGCCACTCCTGCTATGCCCTGGACGACCGGCTCGGATAGCGGCCGCTCTCAGGGATCACCCCGTGCGCACCCCCTACTGTGTCGGGAAGTGCCACTTCCGTTGTATGCCGTGGACGACGGGCTCGGATAGCGGCCGCGCTCAGGGACCCCCCCCTGCGCACCCCCTACGGTGTCGGGAAATGCCACTCCTGCTTTGCCTTGGACGACGACCGGCTCGGATAGCGGCCGCGCTCAGGGACCACCCCTTGCGCGCCCCCTTACGGTGTCGGGAAATGCCACTCCTGCTTTTCCGTGGACGACGGGCTCGGATAGCGGCCGCGTTCAGGGACCACCCCCTGCGCACCCCCTACGGTGTCGGGAAATGCCACTCCTGCTATGCCCTGGACCCTGGACGACCGGCTCGGATAGCGGCCGCGCTCAGGGACCACCCCCTGCGCACCCCCTATGGTGTCGGGAAAGTGCCACGCCTGCTATGCACTAAGCATGTGGACGAGAGCTGTACTGTGCTGAGCTGAGCTAAGCTGCGCTGAGCTATGCTGAGCAGTGCTGTGCTGTGCTGCTGTGCTGTGCTGTGCTGCGCTGTGCGAGAAGGGGAAGAGGGATGTGAGGTGAGTGAGCGCAGGTGCGACGAGGCATGGAAGAAAGCCAGAACCTCACTAAGCATGTGGAGAACAAGGTCAAAATAACATGATATACCAGATGATGACTCCGTCAGGAAAAATGTACCTACCTAGGGACTCAGGGCATCGCCGCCTGAGTGGCGAGGCCGGCGACGTAGGCGAGGGAAGGGGCGCGGCATCCGAGTTGCCGACCCACTATTGCGCGGGCGCACGCCGAGCGGAAAGGTTGCCGTGCATTTGATAGATGCATCCTGTAAATCACATCGACCACCAGTGAAATTCAGCTACCCCGCTGAAAATCTCGTCGAAGCCCCCAACTTGAAAGACTGCTGCCCTGCCGTCGCTGCGCTGCGCGAGCTCGAGGCCGGACCGTTTGCTCCGACGCAATTCAAGAACATCCTAAAGCTGGTGTCTAGATATTAGCGTGGCACTCACCATCCACGCCGAGTCGGTCTGCGAGTCTGTATCGAAGAGGGGCCTGGAGAAGCTCGCTGAGTGCATCCTCGTGGGCCACGTCACTTGGATTCGGCGGGTGATGGAGATGGGCGCCGCATAGAGCGCGCAGCGGTGTGACGCGCGTGAGATTGCGGCCGATGGGCGCGCCAAAGGCTGCATCGACCGTGAACTACTCTTACAAGTGAGGGTAGGTAGTCTGTCATCCAAGCATCTGCTACAGAGGAAGGCGGACAACAGTGTCTCAACCTGGCCCACACTGGGGCCAGTGGTAAAGGCGCGAGCGCAGACGTGGACACATGCGCGCGCCCGCCCAGTCACGGGCTACGCGCCCGCCGTTGCCCAGTCGCGGGCTTCAGAAATTTTCGCATTGCGAAGTGTGGTGACCGACGAACCTCTCGGATATCCATCTAGAATATTATCGGGTGGGCCCGCTGCTCATTTGGAACGGTGGTTGCGCCCTTCTGCGCGTGTTGTTGCGCCGGCCAGGTGTCACGTTTGCCGCAGCTGGCTTCATTGACAACAGTAGGTATTTAGGTGTATATATACTTAATATACATATACGTGTACACATTGGTTTTTGTATATATATATATATATATATATATATATATGTGTGTATGCATGTATGTATGTATGTATGTATGTATGCATGCATGCATGCATGCATGCATGCATGTATGTATGTATGTATGTATGTATGTATGTATGTATGTATGTATGTATGTATGTATGTATGTATGCATGCATGCATGCATGTATGTATGTATGTATGTATGTATGTATGTGTATATATACATATATATATATATGTCCAGCTGTCGTCTTGCCCGCGCAAAAAGACATGCCTGTTATATTGCCTTGAACCCGGTCGATGCACATACAGATCAGAGGTAATGTGATTCGAGGCGGCCAGTCGCTCGACTCCCCCCCTCCTGACTTCGAACGGGGGGCCAGAGGTGAGATGCGAGTGACGCGCCTGCGTGCCGACGCAGCTTGGGCTCAAGCGACGTCGCTTTATTTGACTGCCCCATGCGATGAGCTCTATAGCATCCGAGTAACGGAAAAAGGAGACGCCCACTTCTTTCGACGATGCACTGTCTTTTCCCATGTGTTATGTTTCGGTCACCCGTTCACACCTATCGCATGGATAAGACATGGGACATGGGGTAGTATGGTACGCTTAAGGCGTAGTATGTGGCACGGCTTACCACATCATTCTGGTTGTGCGTTGGAAAGTGCCCAGAATTTGCTCCCGAGGGGGGCGGTTTCCGCAGGTTGGTCCGTTCGAGGGGGGGTCCGGCATTAGATAATATTGTAAAACGAACTTCGTCCGGGCAACAACGGAGCATTCAAGCGCGCCTTTTTTCTGTGCAGTCGCGATGGCGGATATGGGGATCAAATGAGTTCATCGTCGGATTTGCCAAAACAGCCCATACATTTGATGGTACATTGTCTTCTCTGGTGGGTGTGTTGGAGGCAGACAAAGGTAATTCATTCCTCGGCGTTTTGATAAAGCGCCCCATGAGCACTCCCATCACACAGGATCGGATACCAGTTGTCGAGCTAACGAAGGAACAAGTGTCGCAATTGCGAGTGCTGCGGCTTCCTGGTGCACTTTTAGTTTTTGTTGGCAGCTCCCTCGAGAAGTCGCTCAATATGCCAGACGATTTCGATTTGCCTTACATTTGTATACTGTTGTGCTGCCGCGCAAGGCCGCCTCCGCGATTCAGCAAAACTGCAGTGCCCCACGGCTGCAGCGATGAACGCTTGCCACAATCAGTTTTGATCCTGAATACACTTTCTGCGAGTATACCATGATCTAGGGGCAATTTTGGACAGTCTTACGGGGTCATGGTCACCTGGGGCGGCCTTGGGGCCGCCAGGTCTATCTCGTTTTCTGGGGTTTCATTGGGGCAGTTCTGCTCCCACGACCGCCTGGCTGATTTCTGTCGGCTGGAGGCTGGTGCCGTTGCAGCGTGGGAGGCACTTGTCAGATCATGCGCGATTGACGCGTCCCCCCCCCTTCCCGCCTCCCCTCCCTTTCCTCCATCCCCCTCCTCGTCCTCCTCTTCCTCCTCCTCCTTTCTCCTCCTTTTCCTCTTCTTCCTCTTCCTCATCCTCCTTTTCCTGCTCCTCCTCCTTTTCCCCGTGCCCCTCCTCCTTTTCCTCTACCTCCTTGTCCTTGTCTTCTCTGACATTCCTTTAGCCAGACACGGTTGCAAAGCGTGTTTGGGTACCGAAAGTCTTTTTGTGGGCGCAATTGTTTTGCTTCACCCTGCTCGCGCGCCATCTGGCGCAAAGCTTCTGACCGCACCTGATCTGGGAGCTGCACTTGGGGGGGCAGATCTTTTACAGTTTGGTGCCGTCTTGAGGTGGTTCGGGGTCGTTCAGGGGCCGCCCTGGTGGGGAGTGGGGGTTGTCTGGAATGAACCTAACGCAGCTGGGGAAGTGTCCGGAACTCCCTTGGATTGCGATTCTGGGCGAAGACGGGCTAAAATTCGCAAACAATGAAACATGTGTTTCTGAGCGGCTATGTGGGGTGTTCCGTGGGGGCACCTTCGGGCTTTCCTGGATCGATGTCGAGGTGTTGTGGCCGATTGGCAGTTTGCGTCGGTCACATGACCCAGTCCAGGAACATTGCCGTGGGGTTGTTGAATTGGGTGTTTCTCGGAGCGATTTGGTCGCACCCCTGCGGGGCAGGAGGCCTTGTGAAGTGGTCGGTTAGCTTTGGAAGGTAACAAAACGAAAGGCCCTCTCGAAAAAGAGTGATGCTTGTTTTTTCGACGTCTTTTCATGGGTATATCGCTTCGGGAGGTCCGACCGTATCATCAAGGCGAGGAGCCTGAAGCGCACCTACCACGCTGCAAGCGTGGTGGCAGACAATCTGGAGCGACACCTCCATTACGGTAGACTTCGTACAGCGCGAGTTGCAAATCTCCACCACCCGGAAGCGGACAGCATCTGAATTTGGCATGGCACATCAGCTTTATCAGAAGGGAAAGTTTACGGACGCGGTCATCAAGTGTAGCGGCCAGGAGTTCAACGTCCATCGGGCCGTCCTTGCGAGCACCAGCGAGGTATTCGACAGGATGTTCAGTTCGAGCATGCGTGAGGGGGCAGAAGCAGTAGTGTTGATTGAGGACGCCACGCCCGAAGCTGTAGAGGCTCTTATCGAGGGAATGTATTGTGGGAAACTGCCAGAGAAAAGGTTGTTACCGAGTTTCTGGCATCTCGCCAGCAAGTATTTGATAGAAGATCTCGCGGCAGCAGCCATGCGGGTGATGTACGAAGAGATCGATATAAGTATTGCGACGGATTTTTTGCTAGCCTTGCGGCATCACACTCAAAACGAGGATGCCGGCTCAGGCTCGGAAATGTGGTCTGGATTGTTGCAGAAGTTGGAGTCGGACAAGGCAATGCACCGCAGAGTGCTCGAGGAGTTGGCCGACGGTTCTTGCAAGCGCCTCAAGCGGAGCTAGCAGGCGAGGCAGTATTGTTGCCCCGTAGCTGACAGCACTGAAGGCCCGACTTGGCCTCCTTTCCTCTGGGCTTCCAGTGCGGCGGTGGCAAGGCGAACAACAACATCGCAGCGACATCAGATATCATCTGAAGAAGATTACACTCGCTTTTCCCGACCTCTCCCTTGGTGCGTATCAGTCTCTTTTTGGTCGCTGCTAACTATTTCTCCTGGCCCCTCCGCCCGTGGGCTCTGAGCCTCGGCGCTAGTGGAAAGGTTAGACCTCGGCAGCGGCAGCGATTGAGCTGAAGGATCACACGTTGTTATGATTGTTGTTGAGTGCGCCTCATGTGGAAATCGTTTGGAGTTGTTCGATGCCCTGGGCGTCTCACGGTTTGTAGGGGCACCGCCTGAAATCAGCACAAACATGTTGGGCAACATCCAAGCAATCAATGTTGAATTTGAAGATGTTCATGCGACATTGTGTGGCCGCATAGGTTTCCGCCCGTCCAAGATTCTAGGACACACATTCGGTGCCTCACCGCCCTTGGCGGGTAGATGGGCGTAGGGAATGTTTGTCAAGCTCGTGACCGTTTCCGCATCCTTCGAGACTTGAACTCATTACCATCCCGTCTGCTTCTATTACGCGATCCGTGGCATTGTCGTCGCCACGAATAGTGTCCAGGCGCGGCCTTCCAGAGGCCAATGCTAATTGCACAGTCTGACACAGTCTCCTCGACACCCAGAGAAAGGCAACACGACCACCCGTGTCAAGTCCCCCCGCATACGCCTTTACACGCATGTTTTTTCATCGCGGGAAGTGTTCCCCTTGAAAGAGGAGCGCCTCATGGTCTTGCAGTGCAGGCACCCCTTCTTGAACAGAAGTTTCCATGCATGCTTCCAGCTATACCGACGGCGCCGATACATGACCATAACGTCCAAGGAAGTGTACATCGAGAGCACCGCTTTGAAAATGACGCCTTCAATATGTGCAACGTTTCTCTGATTTGAGTTGTGTGTTCATAAAGCCTTGGGTTGTCTCAGACGAGAGTGCCGATTCGAAGAATAACAGCCGTTCACCCGTGTAGTCGTTTCAAAATCTTTAGATTTATGGTCACAAGGATGGAGGAAGTCTCAAACGAAAGTCAGTCTTGAACGGGAACCGCCTTCAATTCTTGTGTATGAGATGATATTTGAAGACGAGTGCGCGCGGCGCTAAGGTGAGGGCCCAACTTGCATGCAACCAACATTATCCCGTGTCAGTGTTGGCAGTTTTTGAATTGTCGCGCGGCGCTCAAGCGAGACTCACATTTTGGAAATGAACCGCCCTACATTCGTTCAGATCTTGTACAAACGAGCTCAGCGCTAAGGGCTAAGGCGATAGTCACATGTTGAAAGCGATCCTGCTCCATCTGTGTAGTTGCTTGCCGATATTTTGAGTCGAAGGTGCATGGCGAGAGCCACATGGTGAAAAGGAGCAGCCCTCCGTCCGTGTAATCATTGGAAGTTTACGGGGCGAACGCGCGCTGAGGTGAAGGCCGCATTTTGAACATCTTGCCCACTCCATCCGTGAAGTAGTTCGGCGTTTCAAGCGTTGGTGCCACGGATGGGGAGGAAGCTATCGCGAATCGCCCAGGCCGCCCGATCGACCCGTCTAGTGGTCAGACGAGGGGGAGTTGTCTGTAAAGAATGGGATGCGGTAAAGCTTCTGGTGATGTTGTCGAAACATGTGTTACGTGTGCGAGGCATGCTCCTGGTGGGATGCGGTGAAGCTTCTGGTGATGTTGTCGAAACATGAATTATTTGTGCGAGGCATGCTCCTGGTTCCCGCGCTGCGCCCTCTGATCTTTGAAGGAGGTGGGCGTGTGGGCCGCCGCATGTCCAGGAGGCCTCTGCATATCCCTGGAGGCCTCCAGGGGGCCTTGGCAGAGCGTGGCAAAGACGCTCCAGAATGTTGATCTTCTGTCTTCGAACCTCCTGCTCCTGCTCGATACCCCCGGATCGAGCGTGGCCGGGCCGAAACAGCGAGTGCCTCGGGCCCTCCTGCGTCTGCATTGCAAGAGCAGAGTCGGGTGCCCGTTGCCCACGCCTCCTCGCACCGTGTGGCCCCGTTCTGGCCGTGTCATCTCTGTCGGCGGCGGAG